TAAGTGTCTTCATAGTACGATGGTCTAAGAGGGTAGCTAAAGGTATGCTCTAGTGGGCGGCTACCCCCTCACTCCCTGGCCTTTTGGTTAAGACTAAGTTTTATGTTCACTCGGGATAGCGTGGAAGGGCCGAAATCTCTAACCGTAACGTAAGCCGATTCGCCGCCTCAGCTTCATAGAATGTCTCGGGGGAATCGTCCCATCTTTTTAGTTTTTGATTTTCATTATTTCTTATGTATGCCCGGGGGGTGCATCTTCGACTGAAGTGAAAGTCTCGGGTTCAAGTCCTGACGCTGGAACTTCTCTTTTTTGCTTGTTTATTGTTTCTTTTTGCTGTTTTATTTTTGTTGTTTTGTTTTCTTCTTCCTTCTTTTCTTTTTCTGTTTATCTTTTTCTTTGTTGTTGTTACTTTGTATGTTTTTCTTTAGAGATTTTCTCTTTTCAAATAATGTAAACATATCAAGCTGGGCTCCCGAGGAACGCCTGCTACAAGTGGATGGTCATGGTTCGGTAACAAAATGGAGCTGTTATCTTTTCAAACCGGAAAATACTATTCCTCCTGTTTTTCTGTATTCAAACAGAACATAGTTGGAGACTACAGTGTCGTATTGCTCAATCTTCCAACTATTATACGATCAATGCTTGAAGATGCAAAGGAGTTGAGCCAATTCAACATCTTAAGCATTGGCAGTGGAGATGGCACAGAAGACATCAAAGTGGCAAAGATAGTCGAAGAAGAGTTGCAAAGAATTGAGGAATATCGTGATGTAAAGATATTTCTGAGAGGTATTGAGCCAAATGAATATTTCAAAAGTCTCTATGACAAAGCCATTGAAGAGCTGACGGGTTCTTTGAAGACGAGAAGTGTCTTCGACTTTCGAGGGAATACATTTGAAGAGTACATGGATCAAAACGACGACTTACGATTTGACCTAGTGGTTTTTACCCACAGTATGTACTACCTAGATGAAGAGAAATCTCTAAAGTACTGCTTTGATAGAGTTCTGAGAGAAGACGGAAAAATAGCCGTAACCGTAGAGGAAAGAGGTCCATTGAGCTCCGTGAATTTTGATGTAGATGAATGTGACATTGCGAAGTTGCAGTGTTACGAAAAGGTCACCAAAGCAGTGGAGAAGAATAAATGGAGTTCTTCAGTTTTCATTGATGCCTACAAAATTGATGTCACCGAAATATTTGATGAGAAATCACAAGATGGAAACCTTTTGCTGGACTTTCTGATGCAGAAAGTCGACTTCCGAGGAAAGGCTAAGAAAAAACACGTAAATCATGTTATGGAAGTATTAGAAGAAAATACGTTGTTGAAAAATGAGAAGCGGGTTGCAGTCGTGTTTGATAGCATGATTGTTATTTCAAAAACCAACTGAAACACGTCGACAGCTACCTAGAAACAAGATTTAAAAGATTGAGTAATTTTGATAACTATTTGATTGAAACTATGCAAGAGCTAACATATTGTGCGCGATACTGTACCGTGACTCGCCATAAATTTCAGGCTGTTGATTGATTGTATGTAATAGCGCACATCTGTGAGATTTAAAATACCTTTCGCCTGACGAATACCGATTACGATTATTTTTTTAAGAAGAATAAAGGAAACATAACTGGTGCAAGTATATTCCTTATTATTGTTGTCGGCGATTCCAAAGATGAAGTCCCGATGCGTGATCCCCAAATAAGAACTGATCCCTCATCTCATACCATGACACTCAATGATGAATATTACTTATCAAACAAAGGAATATAAACCAGTCTCAGCATATTGAAATATTCATTCAAAAATTTTTCTTTATCTCAAATATTAAAATGTTTTAGGCTAAGGAAATAAAGCCAAGAAATATCGTCGACTTTTCTTTAACATTTTGTTCACCCTGATTGGTCGATCCACAAATAAATTTACATAAAATGCCAAATTTGGAGATTGAGTACTACTCCTGCTCGGCCAAGGTGTGCGTATGTCAATAATCCAAGATGGCGGATGCAGTTGAGACGGGAAAAGGTCAACTTTTAACCTTTAAAGCGGATTTCATCACTTTGAATGGCTTGGAAATTCTCTTTTATAATACAAAGTAAGTTTATACTTGTTTATGTTGTGTGGAGGGCGGTTAAATGTAGATCAAAACGTAGTATAATTACACTTTTATAGCGAAAATTTTCTGACTTTGAAAATGCAGTAAAGCTTATTCCGATTTGAAGTATATCGTTGTTAAGCTTTGTTGTCGCGAAAATATTTAACAGTTTAGTGGAAATATTTTGAATTAGAGAGAAAGAACAAGTGGAAAGTGATTTTCAAAACATAACTGAATCGACCCCGTTTTGGATAGGTACGTGCCGCCAGCGGTCTAAATCCCTGACCCTGTTTAAGACACTAAAAAGTAAAAATCCATACCCTGTTCAAGACAAATCGGAAAAATAAACAATAGCTATCTACGCCGCGACCATCAAAATTGCAATTATTCTGACATCCATCAAAGACAATAAGAAGTTTTTGATAACACGTTAAGATCCTGGTACAGTGAAACGGTATTTCTACGGTATTTCTTATGAAAGTATTACCCTGTCCAAGACACACACAAAAATTATCTCGGTCTTTTATCTAAATTGTAAAGCCTGTTTAAGACAATTTAGGGTGAAATATATATCCTATTTAAGACAGCAAGGCCAAAAGCCATACCCTGGCCAGCGGCACGTCCCCGTATAGCAAATATATGGGAGTACCACCCCCGGGATTTAGACAAAAGACGTTGCAGAAAAAGAAAACATTTTGTACAACAGTGTAAAGAGGATTTAACAACAAAACGTCACGCAAGCAGAACACTTTTTGCTATTATTCATGTAATTTTTATCACAAATTCTGGCTATTTTACTGGAGATTACCTTGTCAAGTCGTGTAAAGTCCTTGCAGTTGATATAATCAGGGAATTTAGGATCACCTGACTTTGTGCAATCTTTACCTGGTCGGTCTGTCAAGCAAAATAGCATATTGTAGGGTCTCCTTATTATCAAAGTTACCAAGCAATTAAACAAAACATGACATAAATGAATCATTCAAACCAAGCATCTAGAACATAATAATTTTGTTAACAGATCTACATAATTAGGAGGAGACAATGGTTCCTGGAAAAATATATCTGTTCTTATGTCTCAGCCAGCTGTAAGTCACAGGTGGTTGCCAGAGAGAAATTCAGAAATTCAGGAAAAAATAACTCTCCAGGCAAGGAATACTTTCTAATAATTAATGCCAGGAAAATAAAAATTTCCTAATTAAACAAAATATAAGCCATTTTTGATCATAAAAGCATTCGCTTTGGTTTGGCAGGAGTAAAATTATTTTTAAAAAGGAATGGCACCACATTTGCTTGTGAGATTGTCAATAATTCAGCTTTTCCCAGGAAAAAAAATTTGTACCAGAACAGTTATTTAGAAGAACTGACCCCATTGGCTCCTCCTGCACAATACTGGTTACACACTAAATCATAATTACACACTAAAGCGGCATTTGCACCAGCAATTTTTCCTTGACAAGGAAAAATTGCCTGTGTAAATAGTCAACAAGTTTTCCTTGACAATTCTTCCTTGGCAATGTTTCCTTGCTAGTGTAAACGAAGAACAAAGTTTTCCTTGACAAGGAAAAATTGCCTGTGTGAATTGTCAACAAATTTTCTTTGACAATTCTTCCTTGCCACATTTTCCTTGTTGTCCATTTACACGAGCAAATTTCATCCTTGACAAGGAAAAGCCAACATTGCTTGTGGTAAATGCCGCTTAACTGTCTACCTACCGATTTCACTGACACTTTTCTTTAAGTATTTTGATGGTATTTTATAATGTCCTTTGCCATCAGGGAAGCATACATAGAGGTTAAATTCAGCATAAGGGTTTCCCTGTTTGAACAGCATTTCCAGGTAATAAAGCTTGCCTTCCTCAAGGTATACTGGTTGACTACTTTTTATTCCTTTACCACTGTTGATAATAATTTCCTATATTAGATACAGCTACCAACGCATGAAAGCCATGAAACTAAACTAAACTGAATACTAACAAATAGCAGCTATTTAGAGACAAATTGTCAGAATCAATCAATAAACCAGAACGCAATGAAGAATCAATCCATATGAGACCATTTTAATTCATCTTGATTGCATTCTGGTTCATCGATAAGTTGACAATTTGTCTATAAATAGCTGCTATTTGTTAGTATTTAGTTTGGTTTTATTTCATGGTTTTCCTGCATTTGCTTCATAGAGTGCAAGCACAAAATCTGTGACAAAGTACTATTATGGAGAAGTTGAATAATTACGGAAAATTCTTTACAAAAGTGATTATTTACACTTCTAAATACACTAGTCCGACCAGCCACTTCTTACTAAATGGAAAGTGTCCAAATTGTGAAGTAATGTAAATCTAATTTTGTACTTACCCAGGACTATGGTCAGTAATGATCTTTTTGTCTTTAGGATTAACACTAATGCTCAAATACACCATACAAGAGTCATCGCACAAATAATTGTGGAATGAATAGTTGCCTGTCATTGGTGCTTGAAAGTATGATCTCATCCTCATCCCAAAGTCCCTTTCATATGTTCTACCAAGGAAAAATGTCGCCATGTTGTAGGTTTCATTAGGTGAGTCTGGGTAAGTTGAATGGCTTGTCAAGTCTTTGATTTTGAAACCTCCTATGCTATCCCATTTTTCTGTGAACACTGCTCCATCGACTATGATTAAACAATATGATGTGAAAAAAACTTGCCTGTACAATGGCAGATTTAGAACTTTACAAAGGGGATGGGGAGTGGGGCTGGGGGGGGGGGGGGGGGGGGTCACTATACCTCAATCAAGAAAAATTCTTAATATGAACCTTACTGATTCGTGCCTAGAATGTAGCCACCCTAATAATCAATACCCCCCCTGATTCTGCCGTTGCAGTACCTTTTTTGACAGGTACCCTGTTTTCTTTCATCCCGCCCACCCATCATCATCAACATCTCTTCAATCCACGTATTCTACTTGTTATGGAGATTTATTCTGATTATTTTTGCCATTTTGCGAATTGTGTTAAAATTCATTTAAAGTAAGAGCCGAGTATCCCATTCTTTAGCGACTTTCAATTAATTGTTATCAACAAAGAAATCCGCCATAATAATTTGTTGGTCCCCAGACCTCCTTGCCGAGCAAATTTTTTCAAGGATGATTAACGTTTTAGTATAGGAGGTCATATGGGAACGACTATATCGCAGGTTGCTGGCAAATTGCWAAACGTCAACAAGGAACGCGTCTGTTTATTTTTACGTGAAAGTAATTCATCATACGAGTACGTATTGTGTCAAATAATTCATTATTATGAATCAGTGCTTCCTCCTCTTCCGTCATCTATTATTCACATCTTTATAGCAAAAAATAATCTATCGAAAACGACAGTCACTTGCGCTTTTGGCCAAGGGATTGTGGGGATTATATAAAGCGCGAGAAATACATTTACCGACATGCTTTGCTAAACGAAATGGCGGCTTTGCTCGTTATCTTTTTGTATTTGTTAGAAGTTGAACGTTTCATGTTGCATAATATATCAAAAACGACAATTACTTTCTATTGTGCCAAAGGGATTGTGGGGATTATTCGAAGCGCGTGAACTACATTTACCGACATGCTTTGCACCTAAAAATGTCTTCTTTAAATTGGCACGTTTGTTCGAAGTTGAACGTTTCGTGTTTCAAGATATTGTAATGACACTTTGTGAGAACTCAATGCTCAACCAAATCGTGATATTGTAATTTCGTGACAGCAACTCCTTCTGCTAACAAATGGTTGTAAACCTCATTTCCCAGGCTTCAAGGATAGTACAACTTATTATTAATTGTTTCCAGTATATCTTCTAGTCAAAATAACGAACAATAGTGTCCCCCGGATGTGGCTTATTTCATAAAACTCAAGTGGCTTCTTGAAATTGAGTGTAATTGAGGAGACAGAAACTGTTGGGATATAATTGGACGATAATTACACTCTTTCTCAGAAAACAAAAGACATGCAAAAAATCCTCGATAACAAAAAAGTAGCAAAAGGTTTATTCATTATTACATTTTTTAATTCTACTGTAATTTCATGTTATGTTATGATGTATTTTCACGTAACCAGTAGGTCTCCAGGATACTTTAAAAAGGATGTTATGATTTTTTTCTAAAAGGCGGGGAGTATTTTGACGTAAAAAGGCTTAAAAGGAAATAACAAGTTTGCAATAAAAGACGTAAAGTTCTCTAAAATAAAAGAAACCTTGAAAAGGAAATTATGAGTTTTACTCTAAAAGTATAATTTTCTCTGACATAAAAAGGTTAAAAAGGAAATTGTATGAGTTTGCTATAACAAGAATAAATGTATATGACATAAAAAGGCTTAAATAAGAGGAGTGTTACTAAATATAGAACATGTACGAACCGTGGAAAATGGAGAGCGCTCAAACTTGAATCTAGAGCTCGGAAGCTTTCATTTGATCTTAGTTTTGCTTTGTATCTAGATTCGTCTTTATTTCAGAGCATAGAAGCACAGGATTGCTCTGTCAGAACTATAGGTTTTTCTGGCGTTCACATTAAAAGTCGACTCGAATGAAATGAAAAATGATAAAATTTAATTGTTGATCTTTCTCATTAGAAAAATCGCAAATGGTTATGAGTGCTTTGTTTGTCTCTTTTATCCTTTTTATTTTTGTTTTGTTATTGTGTCTTTGGAAGTTGCAAATCAAATGGCGGCTCGGATAAAATGAAAACAGAAAAAAACACAGATTGTTGATTTTTTTCATTAAGAAATAAATTACAAAGCTGTCGATGTTGCATTTATGTTTTTGGCCGCGTTTCAATCTGTTTTATTTTTGGGCGTTCTTTTTCATGTGTCATTTGAACTTTTTAAATCAAAAATGAAATAAAAATTGGAAAATTGGATTGTTGATTTTTCTCATTTGGAAATAATACAGAGATGCCGATGGTTGGATTCATCCTTTGTATCGCTTCTTTTGTGTAGTTTTACATTGTTAACTGTATTCTGTGCAATCGCTCACACATCTAATTAGCCACTGATAGTGTTAGAAGAGAGAAGAAATTTAGGAAAATCACTAAGCATTTCTACACTGATATATTAGATCCTTCAAAGCCCTCCCATTTTACGTAAAAAGGGCATGTGTAGACTAACCTAGGTTTTATAATTTAAATAAAATTTAGATATATTCATTCCAAGGCAATTGTAACGGTAGTTTTTAGTTACTTAAAAAAAACTAATTTTTCAAATACGAAAACCTTGGATAATCAGGAATACCTTGGATTAACTCCAAATCGTCTGGACTGATCCATTTTCCTACAAAAATGCACTAGGAAATCCTCTTTCCATAAAAGCCAATTAATGAAATCTAGTTTGGACGTCAAAGAAGGCCGCATGATATAGTATTTTGCTGAATTACTTTGAAAGTTTTTATATGAAAGCCATAAGGTGTATCTGGAGGTGTAAATTATAACTAAATAAGAACAATTTTTAATGCAAATTTTGGCTTTTCCTTTTTATCTGTTATTGATGTTTGCTGTTTGCAATAACTTCCTTTTATTCCTCTTTTTCCACACATCGTTTTTAATTATTTTTAAGGTAAACTGTCAAGCTTGTCGTGCTTTTTGTTTATTCTTGCAAGTTCATATAATATTTCTCTTTCAATTCTCATATTTCACTGATGAAATTTCAATAGTTCTCAAATCTTTCGAGATTGAATGTATTTTTTCGTTTTAATTTTCGTTAAATGGAGTGCAACTACTCGACGCAAATTGCTTCTCTTACTTAAAAGTCTGTTTTACATGTTTTAACCGCGTTTTTAAAATCATATTTTACTAGCTTAAAACAGATCACATTTTTGCTTCTTTACATCAAATTGTGCAGTAGTACATTTCTCACACTTTTCCCATACATTGTAATTTGATCACATTTCATATTCTATGATAGCAACTATGTTTTTTTAATGTATACATTACAGAAGTCTTCATTTCTCAAAATAGTTTTCTGAAAACCTATTCTATCTCTTAAAACGATATATTGTTCTTTTATATTTTTGACGATTTTTGACGCCTCACATTTGTAATTGCTTTCATGTCCTTCAGTTAATATTTATTTAATATTGCGTAACTATAAAGCATCGACACTTCAAGGAGCACTTTGCCAGAAAAAAAGAACTCTTCTTATCTTTTTTTAGAATTAGAATTATATATCCGTGCTTTTCTGCAGTATCCAGTTCTCTTGGGCTCACGCTAATCATCAATTGTGCGCAGAATATTCAAATAAATAACTACAAAAGGCGATAAAACAAAACAAAATAAAACAAAAAAAAAGCGATATCACCCATCTGGTTCATATTTCCATAGCTGTTAAAAAAAGCGAAGCAAGTTAATAGATAAAGGTTTATTGCTAAGCTTTCCATAATTCAGTATTCTCAAAGTTATGAACWTGGATTAACATGCGCGAATATTATTCCTGCTCTCTTCTCATTCACAAAAAAAAATCAATAAAATAATATATTACTGACACAGCATTGTTGCTAAGCTTGAACAAAATAGTGCCAAAAAAAGTCTATTATGAAATAGCATTGTTATGTTTATTTGTTTACTATCAAGGTCCATGTCTTGACGTGATTGTAACCTCTAATTACTTTTGGAAAAATCGTTCATTACAGTGTACAAGTACGAAAAGATCTTGTAAGAATACTACAAATCGACATTTACGAGATCATAGGATCATCACCCGTTTCCATAGTATCGTTAAGATGCTATTTTTGAAATATTGTAAAGCGCTTTCGAATATTTTATAGTAAAGTATAATATATATACGTTTACATACATTATATTATACAATTTTTATCGTGGAAATCTCAATACATTTTGCTTTGTATAGAAATCCATACTTTTTTCTACGAAATATATAGTCATACCTTGGACGMTTCCATGCTTTACAGAAAGAACCATCTATAAAGATATTCGCCAAAAATAAGAATTAAACCAAAACACATAAATTCTATATTAAATTGATGCACAATATAAAAATACTGAACTCTTTGTGCCTTTAATACGATTATAAATATATATATCAATAAAGTTTCAAACCGAAGCATGATAAGGAAGTTGTGTTAGTGAAAAATTGAAATTAAACTAYGGACGTAAATTACTTGCTTAAAAAATGTCTGAAAGATTTTCTGATTATAAGACATACTGACCTGGTRTAAGGCAACAAATATGAATAAAATKTTTAAAATCTTCCGCATGATTGTATAAATAAGTGGGCTTTCACATGKTTTTTGGGCTTTTTAGATTTCAGAGTAAAGTTTAAACTGGAAGAAGAGAACAACCAACATGTCTACTGTGCTCTCCATCTGCCAATCATGTCAATACTTGTTTCTCGACCAATCAGAATCGCACTTGRATGTTTGAAAAATCTACCTGTACTTTCAGAACTGCCATATAAGCCATCGTAAAYAATTATTAACGTGGCTTAGAATTTTAATTTGAGGTAATGATTCTCTTAAATACAAACTATAAAATTCATTCCAAGGTCTTGTAAAASTAAAAKCCATTAAAACACTCGTGTTGTRTTCCATGTGACTGTTTGCCCAGTTGAGTCAATCTTACGCCATGTTCAAAGAAAGGACAATTCGTTGACACTTTGTGATGTTTTAGAGTACATCAGGTGTTGGTTTGTGCGTGTTATTTGAGAAAAAGCCAGTCGTTTATTTGGCTTGGAATTCAATTTTGCCACAGATAACAAAAACCTTGGAATAGTGACTTCAATTTTATGAAAGCAAYACTGAATTCAAAATTTTAAGTTTATTCTTGCTGAMATTATTCCTTAATATGTCTTTTTATTGATTTGTGTGACAGAAAAACGRCAATTATGTGTTCCAAAATTTACGATATAAATAATCTTTGTAAAAGATATAGGCAGGTGGACTCAGTAATGGCGATTTTCAGCTTAATCAACTGATTTAGCATTTTTAAAAACTTGCATATCAGGACGAATATAGCGTTTTAATATTATTTATAGCTATGTGCATGCTGTGTTACAATTATTTCGACTTTTGCAGCTATGTAACAAGCTTTATAGTAATTAAATAGGGAATTATTTCATTACTGATCCTTAGAGATGGACCACACGACATGTAATCCATCATCCCTATGAGAAAAAAMTATTTCAATACTGTAATGAAAAACCCTGTTATTTACATGATCGACATCCATGGTATGGACCCTGTAAATACCCTGTAAATTTCCACAAATAACCCTGTAATATTTTGTACATGSTATATAAATTTGTAGCACCCATACTTTTATGCCAATCAATTATTTTCTATGTTGATTGTGATATTGTATTTTTCTTGGTTCATTTTCTAATAAARTATCGTATTTTTTTCAATGTTTTCTCAAAGTGACGTTTTAGAGATAAAAAAAACTTGTTTTTTCTTGTTTTCAAAATGTTTTTTCTTTGTTTTAAACCAGCGCGCAAACATTCAACGTCTGTAAAAAAAGATCGATTTGTATTCAAGGAAGTCTAGATTTACAGATGTTTTACAGACTCGAAAATTTACACAGATTTTACGAGATCACAGCAAAATTTTCRAAAGGCTACTCATCCTGTAAAACAAATTTGCAGTATTTCCACGATATTTTTTTATATATTTTACTACTTTCCATTATTTTTTCTTCTTTTGTCGGGGGCGTATTAAGGAATATCTTTTAGAAGTGTCATATAATTGCCTTCATCCCATGCTGCGTTCTAAGCACCTTCATGACAAAAGAGATTGATTATTTCCAGTTGACGAAGCYATCAAGTGCTAATGTGTTTTATACCCCATGAAGGTCGTCGTAAACGAAGGTTCAATCGATACATATAGCCCTTGTCTTTGAGTGSCACTTGGAACCAAAAACAATACAAGTTTAAGATGCATCGGAAAGGGATAATATATACATGGTAAATCTCTGTAGATGATTGTGTAAAAATAGCTAAACTTTATTGAAAAGTGTGTTAAAAAAAAATTACAAAAAGCTTTTAAAATCTTATAAAAAGGAAACTTCGAAGGAATGTTTATTGAAAATCTCCAATAACAAAATACGTACATTTTAAGCTCTTGTAAGATTTAAAAATCTGAAAGGATGCTTATTTAAAACTTTAAGAACAAGATACATTTAGGAATACTATGTGAGGATTATAATCGATAATAATAAGATTACTATTTCTAATATTATAATAATTATTAATGATAATGATGCTAATAGCGATATCGTGATAGTATTGCGCTAGTGTTTGTAACAATAAAACAGAATACAAACGGTCATMAATACCCTACTTTTKATTTCACGAAAAAGGATTGATGGACGAGGCTCTGGGAAAATAATAGACACGGCTTTTTTGTTTCCCCTGAACTTCACTCTCTGTTCTGTTGTGCGACAACCATGCAAAAAAATATCGCTAAAATTGACTAATAAATCAGTTMAAAATATATATATATTACAAATGTAGTCTCTTGAATGTTAATAAATCTCCTTTCGACTTACGAAACAGTTCTGAATCTGTARAGAATATGGTCTTATTGTTTCATTTCTCTTCCTCTACACATATATTTCAAATAATAAATATATGCTAGCTATGTACGTTAAAAKWTTCTTATGAAAAGGCTTTTATAATAAAGTGTTCCCTGAGGTTACGTTTCCACATCTAGAATCCATTAATTTGGAGCTTGATATCGGCACTTTGCGCCGCCGGAATTAATGGCAGCCAGAGGGAAGTATATAAGTCTCTTAGACCATAATATGCCGTCATGTGTATTTAACTAAGTATACTCTCAATGATTATAGGTAAAAATAAAAGACGCATAGCACAATGTAAATAGATAATATTTGTATTCATATTAAATATTCATTGCTCGCACATAAAGTCCAAGTATATAATGCAATACTCTCGGCCGGCGATTTCTTCAAGATATGATTCTGAAAATGGTGATGCAATACGGCCATGCACAGGAAGACCGACACAAGGGTAGGCTGCGAATAAGACCAAACATGGTACGGATTCATGATGCGAAAATAATAATGAATAAGACGTCAAGACGGTTAAATATCATTTCAAAAGGCTTGTGGAATCCAGGGGCGTGTGCAGGGGTTCCATGAGGGGGGCTTCCAATGGTTTCAAGACTGCTAAGAAACTAATGGAAACTTCACAGCAAATGCCCTTGAAACCTCTTTTAATTAAGTGGTCACTTCTGGGAAACACCAGCTTTCGCTTAAATAGAGGTTGACCGCTTTTAAGAGGTCAAGTTTACAGTGGATATATACAAATAGCGGACTCTAGTGTCCACTTTATGGAGGGTGACCGCTAAATAGACGGCAACTTAAGGCTTTAAAATACTCATTATCATACCTGAACGAGCTATTGGTACATGTTGCACCTCACATATGTACCCTCTAGGACTGTACCACCCTCGGCAAGGCAGATCATTGACTCCTCCAACACTATTTAAATAGTTCTTGGCTATGTTAGWGCACTCRCCATCGCCTGATGGTTGGTGGATCTGCCAAGGGTCATAATTGAGCTGTTTACCTGATAACCAGTACCATGATGTCCTGTTTGTTTTATTGTGGCCATGTCTTTTAAGACCTTGGGTAATAAAATGGGTACGTTATTGTTATGGGCAACTGTGGCATCCGTTGTAATGTCTCTTTGTACGGAGCATTTTTTGTTATAATGGCTATGGATACTATAGGMACTTTATTGCTATGGGTGATTAATGACTATGAAATGGAGCATTATCTCACTAAAAGCTTGTAGGAATACAGTAGGCTCATTAGTGCGATGTATGAGCATGGTCCATATAGCAATGTTCTCGATTTTATGACAAACAGGCCAAGAAATCAATGTGATAAAATGGAACTGCAACAAGAAATTACAAAAATATGCAAAAAAAAAAAAAAACGAAAAAAAAACATTCAAAAATTAATAAAAAAAAAATCACAAAAAAACGAACTAAAGTGAAAAAAGGAAAAATGGTTCATTATACTATATTTACCTAAAATACCAAACTACTGTCAGACTATGTTCTTTTGCTAATTGAAAGGTTAAGTTTCGAACATATATTATGSCAGATAGGACATATTTGTGGCTATGATTTGTCTGAAAAGATGTCACATTGGAGGAGTTACTAGGCGTTATAAGCAAATACAGCACTTGTACGTTTGAATACACCTGGACAATGTTGGTAGATCACTTAGTCTAAGGTAAATAGTAATAAAGCAATACGAACAAGACATCTTATCTGATAGTTGAAAAAGAGCAATATTTCGACTGTTTTTTTTACAGCAGGCGCTATCTTTGATTTAATTGTTTTTGTCAAAAATCATGGTTGTCTGAAAGCATACGACGACTTTAAAGTAATCGCAATGTCTTCATTGTTTCCATACCTATATGCCATTCGTCTTTAAACCGGTTTTTCAGGTTCTGTATCTCGTTTTTGATGAATTCCCATTCGTCCTTTGTATTTAAAGAAACCAGGTCACCATGGAGACCCTTGCACTTCTCCCGGTTATCTATCCATGATGWCCCATTTCGGTAGAAAAGGTAAACTTTGTCGTTCCTCCGTCTTACCACTGTAACATATAAAATAAGTGGAAGTCATTTCAAGTGCGATGTGTGTGGCTCATTCTATGCGTGCATTGATATTAGTTGGATTAGTAAGAACTTCTGTAGCGAAGAGATTAGTGTTGGCGAGTTTCAGACGCTATGAAAGTTAAATATCAAATTATGTAATCGTAGGTCCTTTCGGACAACCAACAATTTCGGCCTTGAATATGCCATTATAACTGTATTCAGTACTCAACCTATTTGAAATTGCTGTATGATTATATTTTGGTGCATGTTTAACCTTCCCCACAAACAACCTGGTTGGATTTCCTTTGTCACGGAGGCCGGGTAAGAATGGGACCAASCAAGAGCCGCATGTGGAGAAGGCGCATCTTGTCATAGTTCGTTAACCGTTGCTCACCTGGATCGATGTTGGAGTCACAAGTCGCCATCCAGTACAACTAGAAATAATTACATTTCGTGATTACCTTTGTATTCAATGATTAACCAATAGTTAATAATCGGTTTCGAAACTTCAGATACTATTTTATTCAAATTCTAATATGTTTCGACCTTCATTTTCGTGCTTTTTAAAATATTCAAATACCGGCTATAGGATTTTCACACGAAAACATCTGGGGTATCCCTTTAAATTATTAATTAGCTTTTTAATGCAAATATGTTTTCCATTCCTTTTAATCCTTTACAATYAAATCTATCAATCTCTTGTTTGACGGTATAATACAAATAA